TCTCCCACCACATTCTGTAGGACACAATTTCTTTTGCAGATTTTGCCTTTGTTATTAGAGTCCTTCTGACAAACCTACTGCCTTTAAGGTTCAACACTGTCCAAGTGTACCAGTATGGTTATTTCGTATTCTTTTTTTCTGGTTGTCCTAAGATGAGGGTCCCCAAACCCTGGGTTCCTGTTAGGAACCAGGCCACACAGCAGCAGGTGGGCATGGGCAGGTGGGTGATGCTTCATCTGTATATAAGCTGCTCTCCACCTTCCAGTCAGATCAGATTTGATTCTTGTGGGAGCGCAGGCCCTACTGTGAGCTTCATGTGTGGGAGCACTAGAGTGCAGGCCTCAGGAGAATCTAATCCTGCCCCCCCCCCCCGTCCAATTGTCTTCCATGGTACTGGTCCCTGGTGCCACAAAGGTTGGGAACCACTGTCTTTAGACATCTTTGGGCCTCAGGATATGTCATTTATCTATTGCTTTGAGACAGAGCATCCTAAAACTTAGTAGTTTAAAACAACAATGGCTTCTTACTATGATTCTATGGGTCAGGAATTGGGTTAGGGAGGCTTTGGCTAGGGTCGTTCACTCTGCTTTGTGGAAGTGTACCTGGGACCTGTGTGATGCCTTACCCGCTGTGGCCTCTGGTTCCTGTACAATCAAGTTCAGCCTTCCTTACAGTGAGGTAGTGGAAGCAGAAACTGCTGGTCCTCTGGAGCCCTGGATTTAGTGTAATGTCTTGGGACATCTGTTTTTCTTCCTCCTGCAGATGAGAGCAGGCCTGAGTCAGAGGAAGGGAATCTCCCCCACTGCCCATGTGAAAGTCAGCCTGTGCGTCCAGGAAGGGAAGGAAGTGGCTGGGGGGCGGGGAGAGCTCTACCACAGGAGACGAGGAGAAATTGGACCTGCAGTCCCCCTGGTCTTTTTTTTTTTTTGACTTTTTAAAAATCAAGTTTATCTTCTATCAGATTACTCATAGCCAGATTTCCACAGACCTAGAATTTTAAATCAGTGATCCAGTGTGACCCATTGATAACATTTTTTAAAAAGAATGAGCACAGTCACGTTGTCTTAGTCTTAAGGATTTCTGGATTTCGTCCTTGAAGGAGATCAGGATCTTCCCAAGGCCTTGGGCCACTAATATTCTTCCAGTCTTCCAAAGTAGAGTCCTTTATTTTCTCAGATTCTGACTCTAAAGATATTTTATTCATTTTCAGCTTTTTTTCCAATTCAGGATCAATTTTAATCTTCACAGCATCATAACGGATTTGTGAGAACTCACACAGACCAAAAGAACCTCCAACAATCAGTAACTCCTTTGTCTGGTCGTTTGGGGCCAAGTCCTCCGACCCCGTGGTCTTCTCCATGGATATCTGTCTGGTAGAGACTCCCAGTTTTAAGAACAGAACCCATAACTGCTGCCAAGAATTTTAATATGATAATGGACATGTGGGCTCTAGAGCAGAGCTCCAGTTGTCTAAATCTTGGTATAAATTGCCTGCATCTCCCTTCTTTTTTTTTTTGTACCGGTTCAGGTCCTTGCACTTGCGAGGCAGGCAGCGGAACCACTGAGCTAGATCCCCGGCCTTGCATCCCCCTTCTTAATAGAGGACATGTTCTGGAACAGGGTGTTAACCCAACAGTGAGGAGCCCAGTGGTGCTTTCCAGCCTCCTCCTGTTCAAAGAATTCAGCAGGACATGTAATGAACTTAAAAGTTTAACATTTATTAAAGAGAGAAGTGGAAGAAGCGCAGTGCTTCAAAGAAGTCCCCTCAAGAAAACAGAAGAGAAAATACACCTTGCATGTAGGGCCGGCCACTGCAAGAGGGAAAGAACAGTGGCCACTGCAGCCATTGGCCGCCATCTTTAATAGCTTCCCTCTGACGTCATATCCGGGCATCCATCACAGCTCTCCATGCATGCATCCCAGCCATGATGGACCGGTCTCTGTGAACACCCGATGGTCCCTGCAGTTTGCCTGGCCAGATCTCCTGCCATGAGGGCACGTTCCTGCTACCCAGAAGCATTGTAGCTTCATGGGTGCAGCAGAGTGGCATCTTGTTCCATCCTCACTCTGGGCACCGTGTGGGTTACATTATCTCAGGGTATCTTTCTGCTAAGGCAGCATTAGTCTGGGAGGAGACGCCTTCCAAGGCCCAAAGTGGGCCCTGGGCTTCGGGAGCCAGGTGGTGGTTCTTCCTCCTTGGCAGCTTCCTGGCACTGAGGGTGTCCGGAAGTCCCCTCCCTGGCTGTGTGTGCATAGTTACTACCACCCAGGTTTCCAATGGAGGGAGTGTGACAGGCCTCTTCTTTTGATTGATTGATTGATTGATTGATTGAAATAGGATCTCACTATGTAGCCCAGGCTGGCCTCAAATTAGTAACCCTCCTGTCTCAGCCTCCCAAGTGTTGGGAGTATAGGTGTGCACCACCCACCAGGCTTGTCTGACGCCTCCTGCGTGGCTGTGGATGTTTTGGTGCCCCTTGGCTCACAGGGATTCCATAGTTTGGTTGTTTTCTGCTGCTTCAAGGCACGAGGAATTGCAGAGATAAATCTGCTACTGAGCCAGCAAAGCTTCCTAGGACAAATTAGAGAAAAAGGCAGACTCGGCTCCACTTGAAGTGACGCATCATAATGACTTCGTTAAAACACCTACGAGCTGGGCCTTCCCTGGGCAGTCTGACTCAGGAAGACTGGGATGGAGCCTGAGAATGTGTTTTTACCAGGTCCGCGGGCCACACTTTGAGAACCACCGTCACAGGCATGGGAACCGTGTCTCCCCTTGCAGGAGGTTTGGAGGTGGACAGTTCCCTGTCGAGTTAATTTGGTTACTCACTGACTCAGGGCGGGGTCCAAGGAGTTCCCCCGAAGAGGAGATGGGAACCACAACTGACCCGGATAGGTTCTGGACTTATCGTGGGAGGCACAGGTGGGTTTAGTGGGCGGACTCGAAAGAGCATGCGCAGACAGGAGGCGTGGGGCAGCGCTCCGTGGTGCGGTCGTGGGGCGTCCTCAGGACGGGTGACCAGGGTACTGTGTACCTACTGCCTGCTTGTGTAAGGTCAGGTTGCTTGTTGGACTAAGGAAAAACTGGCTTTGTTGATGAGGCTAACATGCAGACCGTTTGGGTGGGCCGGGAGCTTGGGGCTGGGTACCCGGTTAATACTGCTGTTTCTTTGAGGGTGGGAATCTTCGGAATTTGTGGGGTTTTAGTATCAGAAGACAAACACTGTCCAAATGTATGAATTTACGGCATTGGATCTTTAAGACTCCTAGGAATTTAGGAGTGAGAAGCTTGGAAGAAACAGTGTGACCTTGGGTGACTTTGATTGGGTTTGTTCTTTTTTGTACTGGGGATCTACTCAGGACCTTGTGCTTGCCAGCAGGTGCTGTGCTGCTGAGCTACATCCCTGGCTTTCGATTGGGTTTTGAAGCTGCCGGATTTTTTTTTTTAATTGGTTTCTTGCCTCCTTCATACCTGTTTTTATTTCTTCCTTCCTGCCTTACCCTCACCCAGGACGTCCTTCTCCTCCTCCTCCTCTTGTCCTTCCTCAGCTGTGCCCTGGTTTCAAGATGGTGGTAGGAGTATTAGCTCCGAGTCAGACTGTGCTGGGAGGACCCTGTGTGAATCCTCCCTTGCCCTGTTTATGCAGCATCCTGGCTCTCCTGTGGATTTAGCATGTATCTTCTGTTTGGAGTGGGGCAGGACCTGGCTGTGTAGTCACAGCTGGCCTTGAACTGCCTGCCGTGCAGTCCAGACAGGCCTCTAACTCAGAGGGATCCTCCTGCCTTGCCCTCCCAGGTGCTGGGATTACAGGTGTGCACTACCACGGGCAGTTGTTGCATTTTTCTGGGACAGAGCTCCTCCCAGCCCAGCGACCGCTGGAGGCTGCAGGCAGAGGACTGCTGTCTGACCCGCATACACAGCTACCCAGACCAGCCTTCGCATCAGGCCTCTCTCGGTCTTTGTCCAGGCAGAACATGGGCAGGAGCCCGCTCCACCGTGGGAGCCTGGTCCCCCGTGCTCCTCTCTCTCCCACCGTCCCTCCCTCCCTCGTAGCCCCGGCTGATTCTTAGCCTCTCTTCCTTTACGCCCCAGATCCTGCAGGCCCTGGGGAAGCCCTACCACCCCGGCTGTTTCCGCTGTGTCATCTGTAACGAGTGCCTGGATGGGGTCCCCTTCACGGTGGACTCAGAGAACAAGATCTACTGTGTCCGAGATTACCACAAGTAAGGGGGGGGCGAGGGAACCCCGTGGGGTGGACACGATGGCAGCGTGTTGGTAGCTGCTTTGCGCCACTCGGCCACAGCCAGCAAAGGCTTAGTGGCTTTGAGGACTGCAGCAGTCTTGGGGGTGTTGATGCTGCTGTGGATAGGAACTGGTTAAAAAGTCACATTGAATGAAAAAACAGAACGAAAACTGGTCATCGGAGTTCTGTTAGGCCTCAGGAGGAATACAGCAAGCCTGTGGCCCTTGATTTCCCAGACCTCACCAGGGTTGGTCCAGACCCCTTGAGCAGCAAGGGAACGAGGGAGGTTCCAGCCAGGAAAAGCCCAGAGCCACCACACTGCAGGGGATTCCGGAGAGAGAGACAGACAGACAGGCAAGCACACAGGCAGACAGACAGACAGAGACAGAGGCTCAGCGTTGGGCTGCAGCCTGAAGGCCAGGCCGGAGGGCGCTGGCGGTGGGGGCCACTAAGCCTTCTGGAAACAGCAGTGCGCAGCGTGTCTGTCCCTCACAGGGTGCTGGCCCCGAAGTGTGCAGCCTGCTGGCTCCCCATCCTCCCGCCCAAGGTGAGATGCGTCTCGCACCCGGCCCTGTCCCCGGGGCCACTCCCGAGCTCCTCCCTTCTGCCCTCACCCTTTGGACACCCCGAGACACGAGGGGCCACCAGCCGGCTTCCCCAGCCCCTGCCCTGCTCTGTGCGTCCCTCTCAGCAGCTCAGACTCTCTTATCACTCCTACATCAGCAGAGGAGTAGAAAAGCTTGTCTTTTACTCACTTTTTATTTTTATTTATTCATTTTTTTGAGACAGCAAATTCACTATGTGGCCCAGGCTGGCCTTGAACTCCCAGCGCTCCTCCTGCCTCGGCCTCCTGAGTGCTAGGATTACAGCCCTGTGCCACCACGCCTGGTCTGGCTACATTTTTTTTTTTTCTTTTGGTGCCGGGGATCGAACTCTGGTCCTTGCGCTTTCGAGGCAGCCAGCGGAACCACTGAGCTAAATCCCCAGCCCATGGCTACATTTTTTGAGAAGAGATGTCCCAGTTGGTCCCCTTCTCAGGGCCACGGGCCTTCCAGGGGGTAGCACTGTCCCTCCCATGGCCTCGCCCTTCTGCTCCCTACAACCTTCGGTGCCCACGGCTAACTCTCGTCCCCTCCTGAGCCTCCTGCCTGTCGCCCCGTCTTCCCTCCCCACCCCATAGCCCCTGATGCACCTCCCTGGCCTCTGCAGCCCACCTTGCTCTCCTTCCATCCCAGGGCTCAGACGAGACGATCCGCGTGGTGTCCATGGACAGAGACTACCACGTGGAGTGCTACCGCTGCGAGGTAGGCCCCTCCCGCCAGCCCGAGGCCCCTCACAGACTCTAAGGAGGCCCCAAGATTGTGGGGAGGCCCTGCCCTCCAGAGCTGATGAGGGGAGGCAGGGAGGATGCAGGTGCCTGGGCCATGAGTCCGCGCGTCTCCAGCCAGGCATGTGCAGGTCTGGGATCCCAGCGCTCTGGGAGGCTGAGGCAGAAGCACTGCAAGTTCAAGCCCAGCCTAGGCAACTGAGGGACTTGGCAAGGCCTTGTCTCAGAATAAAAATAGAAGGGCTGGGGATGTAGCTCAGAGCAAAGGCCCTGGGTTCGATCCCCAGACTGCAAACCCAAAACAACAAGCAGAACTGGTGGCACCTGAGACTCACTGCGGCCCTCCGGAGGCTGTGGGGCTGAGGGGTGGGGAGCGAGGGTCCCATCGGGAGGGCTGTCAGGCAGGTGTGTGATGGGAGGTGCCCCCCCAACAGTCGAGGACAGGAGCAGGGTCCCCTGCCCTTCTCTGCCCTGTGCCCCTGTGCCTGCAGAAGAGTGTGGAGACATTTTCTGGGCACCCCTGCACCCCAGATCGGCACTGTCTGGGGGATGTAGAGTGAGCCCCCCTGGTTCCTGCCACTTTGGTCACACCCAGTGTTACAGTGGCCACATGTAAAAGCCCAAGGAAGCAGGCAGCCTTTGTTGTGTTCAGCCCAGTGACCCAGAGCACTCTCCTCTGAACTCAGTCAAAGTAAGAAGTTGTCCAGGGGCCAGGGATTTAGGTTTCACCGCCTGCTGCACAGGGACAGGGACCGGAGTTTGATCCCCGGTACCAAAAAGAAGTTGTCCATGCCGTGTTTTCCGCCCCCTGCCCCCTGCCCCCGGGTCTTGGAAGTCTGCGCTTGTCCCCTCGGTGGGACACACGGAGCCCCTCTGCCGATCTGCGGGGGCTGGCCTTGGGGTCGGTCTCGAGGTCTGTTCCGTTTCGCTCCCACTGGGCTTTCCTACCTCCCCGCAGGACTGCGGCCTGGAGCTCAATGACGAAGACGGTCACCGCTGCTACCCCCTGGAGGACCACCTCTTCTGCCACGCGTGCCACGTGAAGAGGCTGGAGAAAGGGCCCTCGCCCGCGGGCCTCCACTTCTAGGCAGAGCGGCTGGCAGACCCGGCAGGCCTGAGGACCAGGGCGACATCTGCTGACTCCGGTGGCCCCTGGGCTGGGCTGGGCTGGGACAGAGGAGGAGCAGGGCGTGAGGGCTGCCTCTACCCAGGGAGGCGCCTGCGACTTCCAAGTGCCTTTCGGCCTCGCCACACCACGGGCTCCTCAGGAAGCCACGGCAGCACGTGTGGGGCTTGGGACTCCAGGTGCCATCCATGCACGACACCCTCAGCCGCAGCACCCTCTGAAGGGACAGCTCAGCTGCCGAGACCTCAGCCCCTCCCTGGCCAGGCACCCCTCCCCAGGCAGGAGTTCCCCCGCGGGACTGCAGGTCTGCCGAGAGTGGCTGCACACCCTCACTCACAGCCGAGAGAAGGAAGGGCTGGCACACGCTCTGTCGGAACTGGCTGGGAAGCCTTGTCCTCGGACCATGCTCTGTGTGTCCCCGGCCCCCAGGCGTCCTCGCATGGGCCCCTGCAGAGGCCTGCCCAGCAGGCTCCGGGAGAGGAGGGCGCAGTGCAGGCACCAGGACTCTCGCTGTCTGGGGCGCTGCTTGGGTCAGAGCTCTCGAGTCTGTGACTTGGGAGTGGCTCCGGCAGGGTGGGCCTCGGGGTCCCGAGCGAGCGGGTGCCTGGCACCTGATTGAGCTTACTTCACAGTGGAACTCTTGGAAGCTCTGTGCACTTATTGAGCAAGTGAGCTCCTTGGAACAGGGGAGTGTGAGACCGATCGCTGAGCCGGCCCAAAGGGAAGGACGTTCGTTTCGAGGCCTCCCTTTTCCCCTTCTTGGCCCAGCTGTTAGGTTCAGAGAAGCCAGCATCGGGTACATTGCTTCCCTCTGTGACTTCTGTTTTCCATCGTTTCTCTGCACGTGCAGTCTTCCACACACACACAATACCTCACAGACCGTCACTACCTTGCAGTCCAGGAGGAAGTGACGTCGTGGGACTCAGGTACCTCCCCTCACACTCAGACCCGGCTGGTCCGGCTGTGTGCCCGGAACTGAGATCAGCACCAAGGCCTCTGTGCTCCCCGGGGGCAGACAAGCGGCAGGACGCCCCTGAGTCAGAGGTCGCATTCCTTGGCACTTCAAACGGGAGAAACTGCTGTAAAAGGGAAAGAAAGAGTGGTCAGGCCTGGGGCTCGCCAGGCACAGTGGTGCACACCTGTGCTCCCAGCACTCAGGAGGCTGAGGCAGCAGGACTGGGCATGGTGAGGGGCCTGGGGCTGTCTGTGGAGACCCAGGCACAGGTAGATACAGACTCCTCCCTCGGCCCAGCCCCTCCTGTAGGCCATTTCCGCTCATTTGTAGCCACTTCCTGTGAGAAGCACAAAATCAGCAGTGGATCTCCTTTGCCATTCATGAGATCCATGCTGTTGAGCTCCTTTGGCTGATTTTACTTCCCAGCTTCCTGTGCCCAGGCCGCGCCCTCTGGAAACCTGTGGTCGCAGGGGGCTTGAGGCTGGGCCCCCCTCTTCCTGTCAGGTCTGCCAGCTGGTTGAGGCCTTGGAGCGGAGGCCTTGCTCAGGGCCAGAGTCAGGAAAATTGCTTGGGACCCCACTTACCCCATCCCAGAAGCACCAGGAGGTTTTTTGCTAATTGAGTAGTTTAAAACTTGATTAATTTTTGTAATGAAATTTTTAACGTGGCCTTGATTGAGGTGATTCAGCTGTGTTTGCAAATACAGCATTTTATACTGTTGAAAGAGCAATAAAGGGTTTTCCAGCAGTCCTGGACGCCCCGCCAGGCACCCAGCCGGGACAGCCACTTCCCTGCCCAGGGCTCGGTGGGGAGCTGCAGTCCTTAACGTTTCTCCATCTCAAGCCTTTCAGAAGCAGTGATGTCCACCTCTCTGGGATTTTAAATGTTCGGTAAATTATTAGCCAAATAGGTCTGTAATGGGCTTGTATCTGTGGATTTGTAGGAAGAAAATAGGGCCCTGGTAGACCAGGATAAGAGGTTTGTTTTGAAAATTAGAGCAGAGAGCCCCTTCATGTTTTCTGGACAGCTCTTAGAAATGGGTGAAGGCTGGACCCAGGCCCAAGAGCCAGCCTGCATCCTCCCTCGCGCACACGCGCTCTCTCTGTCTCTCCTCTCAGCAATGTTAGGTCCCATCTGTTGCTTGGTAAAGAGTGATGTGTTCAAGTCTTGCCACTAAGCGCACGTGGCTGCAGGACAGGACCCATTGTCTCGGGTTAGAGCTCCAGGACCTGAGTCCTGGGGGCCGTGAGGATAATCAAGGAGCTCGGGAGCCGGGGATTTAGCTCAGTGGTTCCGCCGCCTGCTCTGCAAGCACAAGGACTAGAGTTCAATCCCTGGTACCAAAAAAAACAAAAACAAAACAAGGAGCTCCGGTCACTTCCCGCCCTGTCGTCACCTTGCTTCCATGGGCTTTGGTCACATTTAGGAAACAAAAAGCATTAGTGTTGGGACAGAGGGGACACTTGGGGTCCGCTGTCCTCTGCAGTCTGTGGAAGGGTGTTCGTGGGCAAAGGTGACAGCAGTGACCATGCCTGTCCTTGCAGAGAAAGGAGTCACCGCACCCATGTTTTAAAACTCTGCCAGGAAACCAAAGTTTTTGCTTTTCCTTTGCCACAAGTCAGTCTTAATTTCCCAGTTAGTATTTGAAGCAACTTAAACCAGAAAATAGGAGTCAAATATAGTAGCTCTCTTTTGTTCTGGGCACAAACTGAACAGATGTGGGAAATCCCCATGTAGGAATGAAAGTTCGTGTGTTTTGCTGAATAGCAAAATTATTTTCCTCTGTCTTTTCTTTTACTATAAAATGACTCAATTACTATAAAATGATCGGAGGTATCAGCAATAAAACTGCCCTGATCTGTAGGCTATTAAAGTGCTCTCCAAAATAAAGATGTTTCCTGTGTCTTGTGTGTGTTTGGAATAAGCAGATGGCGTTTTTGACCTAGGTTTTGTCCTCTTGGAGCTCCAGGTTTTTGAAGAAACGTGTGGGTGTTAGGACTTAGATCTGAAATGTCCCACAAGTCCCCTGTGTCCATGGGGGCTGTCAGAAGGTGACGGTTCTTAGGTACCACATTCCTCAGTGAGTGAATTCATTGCCGATTTCACAGCTGAACAAGGTGGGGCCTGGCAGAGGCGGTTGCTGGGGAGTGGCCTGGAAGGGTGTCCTTGTCCCCAGCCCCTTCCCTTCCCAGCCCCTCTGCTTCCTGGCTGCCTTGGATTGAGCAGTTTTGTGCCCCAGGCCCTCCTACCCAGCCATCTCTGCCTTGGAGCTGGCAACCATGCCCTGAAAGCTCTCCCCTCCTGAGTCGTGGGTATCAGGTGTTTTGTCTCAACAATGATCTACAGCAATACGGGGATCAAACCTGAGCAGGGCCTGAGGTTTTACCACTCCTACAAGCTAATAAATCACCCCAAGCTTTCATGGGTCCTGGCAGAAATGATGGGGCTTGTAGGTCAGGGAGAAAAGTCAGTTTATTCCTCATAGCAGTAGCACTGGCCAGATGGCCAGCCTTTGCCCTGGCTCCTGAGCCTCAATTCCTACAAAGCCCCTGGAAGAGGCCCAGGTAATAATAGCTGCACGTGCCGTAGCTGCACTACAAGGGGGAACCTTCATGCCTAGGAAAGCTTTGTCTCATTTTTTGAGACATGAGCTCACCACATAGTCCAGTGACGGAGACAGTGCTGAGCGAGCTGCAGATTCACAAACTGGCTTTTCATATTAAAAGTCTGAGTCTGCCTATTGGCCCACAATGGTTGCCTGAAGAGCAACTGTTGCGTGGGAATGGAACAACTCCCCACACCACTGGTCACAGCGGAGGGCTCAGTGATTCTAGATGCTGAGACATCTCTGATGGCAAGGCAATAATTGTGCAGCTCAGGGCAGAATGACTCGTACGCATAACTTCTATAGAAGCAGAAATTAATCTATGGGAAAAAAACAAATTTCCCATTATTCTATGAGCTGTTTCTGCTGCAGTCTCGTTCCCTTGTTGCTAGGACCCTGCTCGCGTCAGTGCTGTCCACTCCGCTGTCCCCTGCACCGCCCCTGGCCCCTCCAAGAAGTATGTGTTCAGTAAAGAGTGGCAAGCTCCAGGAGTCAGCATCTCAGCCTGGTAAGAGCTCTGACCATCCCGGGCCCCCTTCATGCATTAAGATCTTGTCTTTTGTTATCCTCCGCCATACCCGTGGTCAGGTGATTAGGAGTTTGTTCAGCTTCCAATAGTCCAGGCTGGCCTTGAACTCATAAATCCACCTGCCTTAGTCTCTGGAGAGCTGGCCCTGCAGGCATACGGCACCACGTGTCTGTAACGTGGCCTAGGAGACCCTGGTCTTGGGCACAGAGCCTGCCTGACTTGCTCCAGAAAGAGACGTCACTTGTCACCCGACTTCTTTCCCCACACACCTTGGCCAGGTGTACAGACGTGAGCGGCCTCGGAGAATCCTCCCCAAACCAGCGACTTCTCCGACGAGGTCCTTAGCACGGGCACCTGGGTCCTGCCGCGGTGGTGGCCCTGGCGCCTTCCCTGTCGGGACGTGCCGCTGTTCACCTCCGAGGTTATGACCAGGGGTCGCAGAGGGGAGGGACCTCCGGGTCCGATGCAGCCGCCCACACGGGGCTTGCGCAGGGGTGGGCCCAGGTGAGTGGTGCGCGGGGCCACCTGGCCTTGTTGCTCTGGTCCCGAGTGAGGCTTCAGTTCTCCTGGCAGCTGAGTCTGAGATGCCCAGGACTCAGGAAGGCTGAGAGGGAGGGTGCTCAGTACAGGAGCCTCACACCAAAACCACACCCTGTCCTCCCCCGGTACTTCACACTGAGCTCCACCCCTTAGCCCCCCCCCCTTTTTTTTTTGCTACCGGGGATCAAACTTGGGTCCTTGTGCTTTCGAGGCAGGTGGCAGAACCACGGAGCTAAATCCCTGGCCCAAGCCCTTTTCATTTCTTGAGGCAGAGTCTCAATAAGCTGCCCAGACTGGTCTCAAACCTGGGGTCCTCCTGCCTCAGCCTCCCAGGGTGCTGAGACTACACTACAACTGACTGATCTTTTTCAATGATGAGAGCAGCTAATCCGACTTTTTCAAGTGTGGGCTCCTATTTTCCAACAGCCTTGATGTGCTGAGGGATGAAAATGAAGCCCAGGGAGAAGGTGGGCTGGGCCAGGGTACCTGGGGAAACCCTGAACAGCCCTGAATGGAGGTGGACTGGTTTCTGTGATGAAATACTCCTGCTGAGGCCAACTTCCATTACCAACATGGCACCCTAGAATGTGGAGTTGGGAGGTGGCCCAGTTATGAGCAAATGCGAGCCAACCTCAGGCACTGGGTCCATTTTGGGCTGAAATGGCAGGAAATTGGGTCTGGTTCCAAGTTCCACTACAGAACCCGCTGCAGCAGTAGCAGCCGACACTGTGTGCTCCCGACGTAGCACACATTATCTGGAGGACCTACAGTCTCCCGCTCGCCCCATTTCCTAGACAACAGAGAATGAACCCTAACACCGGGGCTCAGGAAACGGCAGGGCTGAGGAGGAGCCTGCTGCTGCCGCCGCCACCCCTTGGAACTGCAGTTCCCTGTGGCTGCTCTAGCAGGTTACCTCACAGGCAGCAGCTTAAATAACCTGAGTTTACCGCAGCTCTAGGGGACAGGTCCTATCACATGGAGGGTGCAGCAGCCCCAAGATCTTTGCAGACGCATCAGTGGAACCTGTTCCTTTCCCTGGACAGCTTCCAGAGGCTACCACGTCGCCTGGCTGATGGCTGTATCACCCTGACTCTGCTTCCTTGTCCTATCTCCTCTCTGGCCTCCTCCTCAGGACCTCTGAGGCTCCACTGAGCTCATCTGGTTGATCCTGTCTGGCTGGTGATCCTTCATCTGAAAACCTCTCACCTAGCAGACTGGGTTCTGGGACTGGGACACAGACATCGTGCAGGGAGGGCATCCGGCCCACTGCAGACACCAACAGAAAATGTATGGGTGGAAATGAAAGAATCCTTGGGGTTTTTTTGTTTTGTTTTGGTACCGGGAATCAAACTTGGGACCTTGTGCTTGCAAGGCAGGCAGCGGCACCAGAGCTAAATCCCTGGCCCATTCCTTGGAGTATTAGATACCTGTTCTTCATGGATTGATAAGGGTGGGACTTGTATTTTCCCTGGATTGAAAACAGAAATGCACAACACAAATATGGTTGGAGTCAGGGTGTAAAAGAGCCAGGTGCACAATTATAATCGGAGCTACTTGGGAGGTTGAGGTAGGAGGATCAGCAGTTTCAGCCCAGCCGTTTCAGACCCTGTCTCAAAATAAAAAGGGCTGGGGATGTAGCTGTGTGACCCCTGGCTCAATCCACAGTTCTGCCAAAAACAAAACAAAACAACAAAAAAGCAGGACACCTTGTGAGAGAAAAAGCCAGAGGTCTGGGCCAGGTGACAGGCACGATGGCTCAGGTGTTTTGACATCGGCAGAGCCCTGCTGTGTGGGTAGCCAGGTTGTGTAGGGCAGCCTAAGGTCCTGCCCCACTTAGTTGCCTCCAGATGCTGTAAGGCCTCAAGGACAGGTGACTGTGGGGCAGAATATGAAGGAACCAAGTCCGGGTAGCAAGGCGGACTGCACAGAATGTGGATTAGAGGCTGAGTAGTGGCAGCCAGGGGAAACCAGCTGCAGAGCCATCTGCATAGCAAAACCTGCTTCCTGAGCCTGCCTGTCCCTGTGGGAAGGCCCTGGCAGGCAGGTTAGATTTATGTAAGGAACCTAACTTTGCTATTGGGAACATTATAGGGCTGGGGATTTAGCTCACTGGTTTTGCCGCCTGCTGTGCAAGTGCAAGGACCAGAGTTCGATCCCCGGTACCAAAAAAAAAAAAAAAAAAAAAAAAGATTGGTTGCTATTGGGAACATTAAGCTGAAGATTTCAATTTCTATTTCCCATCCTTGCTGATTTCTTGCCCTGAACACGCTTTCCTTGCAATCTGATGTGGTTTGGCCTTTAAAGATCCCGGAAGGATGCCCGTTCCTTATTGGGTTTCTGTCCATCTTCCAGTCCCACAGCAGGCTCCCTTGGGCCTGGTGAAAGAAGACAGGTCAGCCCTGCATCTCTCGGTTCCTGTTGCGCATGACATGTTTAAGGAGCCTGGGCAGGCGCTGTCCGCAGGTGGGTGCTGTTCAGCCAGAATTCTCTTCCCAAAGCCTATGAGGCAGCCTGGGTCTCCCAACCCCACTCCATCACAGGGAAGGAAGTGGCCACGAGCCAGAGCTGGGGAGCAGGAATCGTCAGGTCGGAAATGGGGCACTTGGAAGGTGGCCCCTTGGCGGGGCAGGGCAGGGCAGCACGTGACCACTACCCACGCAGACAGGGCACCCCTAGCACCCACTCACGATGTGGCCTCGGGCACAGAGACCCTGGGAAGGTGGTTGTGGAGTCCAGAATCCAGTGTCTCAACACGGCTTCACCACTAACTGCTCAATGACCTTTAGCAAGCTTAGTTCCCTCTTCTGTACAAATGGGGACAGCCACTGAACCCACTTATGTGATCCTTGTAAGGGCTGATTGAATTCTTCCCCATAAAAGGCATGGAGTACCTGGCATGAAACAGCTGTTCAGAAAGCATGATGAGTTTTAACATTTAACTGCTCTTTATATGAGCATGATCAACAAATAATAAATGGAAAAAAACCCCAAACACCAATTTAAAAATATAGAAGTAGAAACTGTAAAATAAATTTGAAAATTTGAGGCGAATGTGGTGGCACACACCCATAATCCCAGCCCTTGGGAGGCTGAGGCAGGAGAACTGCCACAAGTGCAAGGCCAGGCTGGACTACACAGCAAAACCGTCTCAAAAGATCCCCCCCCAGCCAAATTTGCAAGAACAAATCTGAGGGCTGGGGATTTAGTTCAGTGGTTCTGGCTCCTGCCTTGAAAAGCCCAGGTCCCAAGGTTTAATCCCCAGTACCAAAAAAAGAAAAAAAAAAAAAAAAAGAAAAGAGAGAAAAAAGAACAGATCCGAATACATCAAGAAAAAATAACCAATATATCAAGGAATAAATGTTAAGTAAGTTCCATTTTTCAACAATGAAAATCGCAAAGAAATTATAATTTAAAATGTCCATGAGTAGACCTTAAATATGTGCATCTGGCATGTTTATATATTTCCACCTCTAGAAATATATAAAATGCCAATAATTCAACACAGGATCATTTTTTGGTACTGGGGATCGAACTCAGGTCCTTGCTCTTGTGCAGCAGGCGGCAAAATCACTAAGCTAAATCCCTGGCCCACACAGGATCATTTTAAAAAACTGTTAAACTGATAATGACCCACATTCCCAACATGAGGGTTATACTTAAAATACATTATTTAATGACCTTAAACTTCAGACAAAAAGCTAAGAGATAAAAATGACAGCATAGCCCCACTTGGGAAAATGCATGCATAGGCAAGGCTACATTAAAGGCTGCATGTGATGGTGCAAGTTTGTAACTCCCAGTTACTCCCAAAGCTGAGGCAGGATGGTTATAAAATAAGTTTGAACCTGGCCTGGGCAACTTAGTGAAACTGTCTGAAATTTAAAAAAATCGTTAAGTGCTGGGGATGCAGCTTAGTGGTCCCAGGGTTCTGTCCCTAGTACTACAAACAAATCCAAAAAACACTATTACGGGCTGGGATGGAACTCAGTGGTAGAGGTCTTGGGTTCAAAATGCTAATAGCAACCATCCTGGAGTGGGAATGGGTTTTATTTTTTGGTGCTGGGGACTGAATTCACACACACAAAGCCAGGCACTTTACCACTGTGTGACCCAACAATACAGCAAATGCTTATGTTTTTTTAAAAAAAATGTATTGGAGTAAAAAAAAAAGTCGGGGCAGGGGATTTAGCTCAGTGGTTCCACTGTCTGCCTCGAAAGCACAAGGTCCTGAGTTCAATCCCCGGTACCAAAAAAAAAAAAAATAAGTATTACAGTAGAAGACAACACTGCTGTGAGTCTCAGAACCCTCCCCTTGGCTTTGAACACATATCCTGTTATTTCTTCGGCTTCCTGCAGCAGCTCTGGAGTTCTCTTCCCTGAGTGTCTTTAGTGCTATCCTGGCTGCCTCCATGTCCTGCATGGATTCAAAACGTTGACCTTTCATGATCATTTCGACCCTGGGGAAAAGCCATAAGTCACAGTGCCAGATCTGGTGAATAAGTTGGATGAAGACACAATGTTGTTTTTAGGAGCTGCCTTTCTGTTGGATGGCACTGGGCAGCAGCATCTACTGTATTTTTCTTAATCACACCTGGTAAAGATATTCAGGAAAGAGGACTTCTGGAACTGCTTCAGAAAGTGGCAAGAATGATGGGACGTGTTCAGGAGACTACCTTGAGAGAATTAATGGCAACATGTCTTACTCCAGTAAGTTTAAATTTTTTAAAAAACATTCATCTTGTATTTTGTCACCCATGTGTGTATCCCCCCAGCCCCTGCTTTATTTTTATTTCCTATAATTTCCCCTGATTAAGAAATTCTCTGTAATTGAGGCCTGATTGATTGCGATGACTCAGCAAGTCCTGGGGTTCGAGTCTCCTTTCTGCCGCGGATGTCCTGAGGCACCTCGGGTGTGCAGCCGGGCACCTGTAAAAATGAGGGGCGACAGATTTTATTACTTGAGGTTTTCTTATGGTAAAACCACTGCTGTTGTAAGCTTCCTCGATGGCTCTGGGGGCTAGGTTGGCTTCTGGGCAGACCCACAGCCCTTCATCCTGGTAAACCGAGGCAGCGCCGCTTCTCACGTCGGTACGGAGTTTCTGCGCCACGGGGGTCAAAGAGCTTTAACTATACTTTTCCGTCATCGGGCAGCTGCCAGGCCACCTTTACAGGCCTTGCGTGTCTCATTAACAACAGGGCTCTTTGCAATCCGCAAGACACCTGATACGACTCTAAATTCTGATACTGTGAGCACGTTAGCATCAAAATTCAAGGCACTTGACACCTTCACGTCCTGTATCACACATAATCCTTCCAAGAAGGCCTATGGCACCAAGCGCCGGTGTGGCAAAAGGACACCTCGAGCCAGCCAGGAGTCGAACCTAGAATCTTCTGATCCGTAGTCAGACGCGTTATCCATTGCGCCACTGGCCCCGTGCTTAACAAGCTCGCACCGCGATGGCTGATCGCTTCTGACGCAGTTTGACCTGCTTCCGGACACCAGCCCTCCGCCCCTCCCCCGCACCGGCACCGCGGCGCCTGCGCACAGCTCTCGGGGCTCCGCCTCTTCCTGGCTCAGCGCGCTCCACCAATCCGCGGCGGCTACGTCACGACGTTCTTCGACTTTGTCCTATTCGTCGCGTTGGAAGGCATTTCTCGCGTGCACGATCTTTACGCACTAGTTTGTCCTTCGCTGCTTCCCGTTCGCGCTTGTTCTTTCCCGCGGGGCGAAGAGGCTGGTGGGAAGAGCCCGGAGCTCTGGCGGCAGAGGCGGGGTGGCCGGTAGCGCTGTAGCCGAGGTGGCGGTGCGGGGTAGGACATTCGGAACCGAGAGGAAGGAGGTGGTGGTGGTGCAGGATGGCGGCGACGACCTACGAGCGGCTACAGCTGTGAGTGCCGCGGGCCGGGGGTCTGAGGGGCTGCGGGCGGGAGCCCTTGGTCCTCGCCGCCCGGTCCTGGTCGCCGCCCGGGCCTCGCGCCCACGGGGCCTGCACCCCACGCACTTCCCCGCTGGCTTGGCAGAGGAGGTGGCCAGATTGACCCCCACGGAGAGCTGGAAGGGGAAAGGGAAGTTTCCTCGTAGTGTCGACCCGCAGCCGCACCCGGGCGTCCGCAACTCAATCCTTTCTCCTGGTCGCCGCCTGTCTGGGCGGAGAAGCCTGCTTCAGCTGGCTTAGGCTGCAGAAAAAGTTTACAGGCAGTACTGAAAATCCTGAAAGACTTTCCCTCGGTCTAGATTTTATACAGCTCCAGCCTCGAGCAGGTTCTTAAGCTGTGTTGACAGCCGGAGGCCAGTTGAGTTTTACGACGCAAATAGACTTTTTTGGTAAAGTCGGGAGTTTGAGGCTTTGAGCGGTAAGCCCTGTCCGAGTTGTAAAGTCGGTGTTGGTGAGGACTTTGGCTCCTCCTGGATGAATAACAACACGCAGTGTTCTCCTCAGCTCCTGCTCTTTTCTTGTCTGTCGGTAACCTTGTTTTGCCCTCTTTAATGCTTTGCCTCTAGGCCTTTTGAAAGTCTGGTGGGTATAGAGTAGGAATGTCTTTGACAGCAGAGGCAAGTATAATTTTTGAGAACCATATCCATCCCTGCGTGAGTTAAAATATCCTGGCACTTAGGCATAGGAATCGTGTTTCTTTGGCAGGCAAATGAGCACATAAAAATGTGGTTTGGGCGCTTATTGTTACCAGAACCCGAGGCTCACTAATACCTTTCTGAACGGTTCCTTGTGAATTAGGGATGCAAAGTCGGAAGAGAGGACATCTCCATATCCTGTGTTTCGCAGAGAAGATGGCGATTCCTTTTTCTACAGTTGACCTCTTTTGCTTCTTCCATTTATTACAGTTCTCTTTGAAAACTCAGCTGCACACTTCCCTCTACGTTTTCTTCTCTGCCTTTCCTTATTCTCCCATTGCAGTTAGATCAGTCACTCTGTTGGTGAAAGAGTTGAAGCAAAGTGTCTTTGACTAGGTTACTGGCTGGGCCAGTTCCCTGCGTGCTTTGGTGGCGAATAGCTTGTTGTCATCTATCTGATAGGCCCTGAAGGGTTTAATGTGACCCTACAGCAGGTCTCACATATGTTTAGGCCATGTGGAGCCTTGGCTTGGTGCAATTCAGTGTTAGGTTACAGGAGGCATTTGAGTTTCCTGTGGCAAAGACTGAAAAGATAGTGAACTTGAGAATTATGAGGATTGTTCTTGAGCTTGCCAGTGCACTAAATTTCACCAGTCCAGACCTCAGAACAAACACCTTCTCTACTCATTAAAAAGAAATTTGGTTCTTAAGTGGCGAGGGTGATGCTTTTGAATTGATTTTTTTACTTTTGTGAGAAATAGAAACTAAATTTGTTAGAGTGAAAAAGTAAATCTGGGGTTATATGAAAGTCATTTGTAATCTAGCCGTCCTTAAGTTTTGAGTGCTTCTGTAAATGTGAAGATACAACACTTTTGCAAGTGTGTATTTCTTCAGCAAAGGGTTTGTGATATGGAACCTGTTTTTATTCTTTTTGGCCCTGCTGTTCAAGTTTTTTAAGGTGGCCTGTGACTAAGGAGTATTCTTTTTGGATACATTTGGAGGTGGAATTGGTTGCTGACCTATATACGAATTGTTAGGACGTAGTAGCCATTTTTAAACATGGCCCGGAGAGATATTTTAAGGAAGACCCCTACAAAGAGGAAGGTGGATTGTCTTATTACACATATATTGCTACATGATGTGTTTAAATGTTGAAGTGCTTTGTATATTAAAATAATATTTTTTTCTACATTGCACCATACTGTTTCTCCAGTCCATCTCTGCCCTGCTAAAGTTCATCTTCCCAGTGTCCTGGCAGTTTGCAGTGTCCACTTCCATTGTATTGACCTATAGGATGGAGCCCACATTTCTTAGCCATCTGTATTCCATTCTGTTTACAATCTCTCCCCTATAGACACCCAGACGTGGCTCACCCTCCTTTATACTTTTACGCATTCTGCGTTCTTCCTCGCTGCAGTCTTTTTTTTTTTTTTTTTTGATACTGGGGATCGAACTCAGGTCCTTGTGCTTGGGAGGCAGGCAGCAGAACCCTGGCCCCCCTCGTTGCAGTCTTTGAACCCAAACTGAGAAATTGCTGTCACAGGATTAGACATCAGATGTCTATATGATTTATAATTCTGACTCTTAGGATCCATGTATAGTAAGTTTAATGCCTGTGGAGATGAGGACCGGAAGCTAGAATGATCTGCCTTAGTACTGTGTATGAGTCACTTACTCTGTCACCCAGAAATGATACAATCATTGTTGTTCTGTACTCCGTTTCTCTAGCCAGGTTGCAAAAATCTAGTGTTAGAAACCCTTTAATGTTGATTTCTTTTGTAATCCTTCTCAGCACTTAGCATAAAGCTTTATGCAAAGCAGCCCCTCAGTGGATTCCTTGAGTAAATGAACTCTACAGTATGAAGGACCGTTTACCAGCACTTGAAAAGCAACACAGTCGGGAGTAATTTGGAGTGTGTTCCTCTGAAGAAACAGAGGCTTAGGTCATGTCAGGTATATTAGCGTCTTCCGGTGCATCTCTGAGGTCGTGGGTTTGTATAGATCCTCTGTTACCTCTGTCACACAGCCAAGCTGTAGCAGAGCTGACCTTGGAGCACAGCTAGACCTGAGTGCAGTGATCTTTCCATTACACTGCATTATTTCAAGTATCTTTTTTTTTTTTGGTACCAGGGATTGAACTCGGGTCCTTGTGCTTGCGTAGCAGGCGGCGGAAACCACTGAGCTAAATCCCCGGCCCTATTTCAAGTATCTTTTTTCTTGCTACCAGATTGCTCTTGCCTTAGCCCTTGGACATGCCAAGGATAGAAATGAATCACTTATAATTGAAAATAGTTGACATCTCTGTATGGATTTTTAATATGGAAAACAGAATATTGATTTGTTTGTTTTTAAAACTCATACTTTTTAACCTTCCAGGCAGTTCTAAGCACGCTGTCACAACACAATTAGACTAGAAGTGCATTATTTTAAACATTTAAAGTTTGTTTTTCTAAAGGTCAGCTGAAACTAGGTGTAAGGCAAGGAGCCGTTTTTAGATGCTGAATCAGGTGGCCGCTTGCCTCTGAAGAAATATTGTTTCCTCCAGAGGTTGCCTCTCTTCTGAAAAGGCTCTGATGGCTGTGTGGCCAGTGGGCAGATGTGATGCAGCCAGAGAACAGATGTGAACTAAGGGCACGTGTCATCAGCACAGTGGACACTCAGTACTCACAGGGCTCTCCACGGAGGGAAGGGTGGAGGGCAGGTAAGGTTATCCTCATGCAACTGTTCCAAGGAAGCCACCTGCTGGGTGGGAGTCAGGCTAGAGAGCAAGATTAGTGCAGGCTGGTCAGATCACAGAGTGTGCCTCTTAAATAAATATCCCTTGGCCTCACAGTTGGGGCCAGGGAATGAAAATATCTGGATGTGGGGCCTGCAAATCTGCAGATTTAACCAGCTGTAGCTCTCATGCATTATAAAAGATATTTCAGGGCTGGGCACCGCTGAGTGAAGAGCAAAGTGCTGGTAGATGAGCCTTTTTTGGAAGGTTTGGACTCGGGAACATAGCGCTGTGGACTAGAACTTCAGGTTGGGTGTTTAGATCTGGTCCTTAGGAGTCTGGCTGTTAGAATGTGTTTTAGTATGTAGAGAAGTAGGTGGGACCTGGGAGTTTGGGGAGGACAGAATTAAAATGAATTGTCTTCCTAGAGACAACAGTTGGGTTTGGGTTGGGTTGGGCCGGTAATGAACCTGGCTGTACAAGTGACACCCAAAGTGGAGGTAAGTGTAGGGGTTGCTACCCAAGCCAAAAGGAGGGTGGGGGCATCTTCTTCTTGTGGGTACAGTGAGCTCAGAGGACCCTTCTTTAGGTCTTAATTTTTGCTAGCCAAACATAGTAAAATGTTATGTCTGCTTTTTCAACTGGAGATGCAATTTAAAAAAGAACTTTTTACAGTAAATACCTTGCCAGGAATGATGGGATAGGTGTGTCTAAACTGAGGGAGTATTTTGAGTGGGATTGATGACAGTGTGTCTTTTATTGTATAAGTACTGATAAGTACCATGTGCTGATTGAGCCACTGGAGCTGGACAGTGTGTCTTTTATGGGAATACAATTTTTTTAAAAAAAATTTTTGGTACCAGGGATCGAACTTGGGTCCTTGCACTTGTGAGGCAGGCAGCAGAACCACTGAACTAAATCCCCAGCCCTACAATTTTTGATTTAAACATTCACTATATTCTTTGATAATCCCCAGTGATCAAAATTTTATGGCAATTTCTATCAAAGAAAAACATTACAGTATGTCCTAATCCACATCCACCTTATTCGCTGGCACCATGGGACTTCTAGCTTTTCCTTGAGGTCAAAATGACCACTACATATTAGCATTTTGAGTACTGTAACTCAGGACATTGAGGCAGCCATGGCAACACAACTAAAGACACTCATGAAAAAAAGAGGACTCCAGAACTGCTTCAGAAATGGAGGCGAGCAATGGGATAAGTGTTTGAAGCAAAGGAGAGGATTTTGAGAGGGATTTATGGCAATGTATTTTACTATAACAAATTAAAAAACAACAACAAACATTTACCATTGCTTTTGTCATACCAAGTATATTAAATTTGCTTAACACCTTGATTTAATTCTTGAAGATTTTTGAGGAAGTATCATGTTGCTACAATTGTATGACATGAAGTCATGTTCTTGTGCAGTATGGTGGTACCTCGTTCACGAATTTAATTCTTCCCACAATTCTGGTCGCAAACTGAATTGGTTGAGAACAGAATCAAATTCAGTGGTTAGGTTCAGTGTTGACCTTATGGGGAAATCTGATTTGGTTCTTGTCCAGTTTGTTTTGCGACCAGAATTGTGGAAAGAAT